AAGTCAAACCTGCTTCTTGTATCGTCTTGGGATATCATGAAGTATTCTTCCTAGTGCTCCCTTTTATATAAAAAAAAAATTATATATATATAAGCAAACAAATAAAACAAGATTGTTTGGTGTTTTTATGTCATCAGCAAGAATATAAATACTCTCAACTAATAACCCTTTACTCAAACTTTGTTATAATAGCTGAAAGTCCTATCGCCATAAAGATACTACTTGATTATTAGTAGGTTTTCAAATGATGAATAGTTAATGTTAAAATGATTTGTAAATGTGTAAGCAGTAAAAGTCTGTTCTTATGAGAGCACCTGGAGATTTGGTTTGGTGCTCACCCTGCAAGTAGTGTGACCATTAAATGTAACTATTAAAAATATATATATATATATATTTCACATTATTTATTTAGTTTTTAAATAAAATAATAAACAAAAAAAGTGCAATAATACTATTATTTTGTCAAATAAATAAATTAGTATTAAATAAAAATACAATTATTTTATAGTGCACTTAAATAATAAAATACTAATATTTACATATTTATTTTCATTTATTTATTTCTTTATATGAATTATCATAATTTTCAAAACTAAAATCAGCAAGCTTTTATTTTGGTGGGTTGTCGGCAATTAAGTATAGGCCTATATGCCACCAGTTTTAAAAGTGCTTCAGAGAATGAAATGTCACAGTTTCGCGTTTTGCTCTGAAACTGGCAGCACCGAGCCGAGATTTATGCTTTCAGTTCTAATGGAAATCTTATACAGTATTACAGTTAAGTCAGTCTAAAACGGTGATTGCGCATCAACAGTCCCTTATGAAAATTAACCATGGTTTTACAACAAATAAAATAAAATAAAAAACATGGTAACTATAGTTAAACCATGGTAACCACAAATTAATGGTTTTGCTCCATTAACCATAGTTTAACCATGATATTTGTAGTAAACCTGTGGTTATACAAATTATAATCAATACACCAAAAATCCATGGTTACTACACTTGAAAAACCATGGTTAATTTTCGTAAGGGGTTGTCAACAATGTTGGTACATAAATGAGTGGTCTGAACATATTTAACCAGCGTAGTTTTTATTTCAGTCGTGTATGCGCACTTGTGCACTACTTATGTGCATCCTTGTTTATATACACAAGAAAACCAAGGCTAACAAGGGACAGGCAGAGGTGATTAGTTGCTATGGTTACTAACAAGTGTGGCTATGGAGCCAAACAAGACAGCACAAGGAACAAGGCAAACAGGAATTAAACAGAGGAAGGGAACAGACAAAATTGAAACCAAAAACACTACAACTTAAAAGTCCTTATATAAAAGACAGGGGAACACAAGACATGAATGTAACAGAGCCTCCTTTAACAAACACACACTTAAGTCCAGGAGGGAGGTGGACCAAAGGTTGATCAGGAGAAGGGATGGAAGGCCAGGCCCGTGAGGTTGAAGAGGGTCCGGAGACAGAGGTGGAACAGGTAGCCAGGATGGAGCTGGAGGAACTGGTGACCAGGGCAGAGTTAGGGGCCGTTCACATGTCGCGCCTAAAAACGCGTGGAAAACGCTAGGCGCGCCGCTTTCTGCTTTTTTTCCAAAGCGTTCGGGCGCTTGCGCTCCGGAGGCGTCTACAATTGCTAAGCAACCATGACCTCCGCTCTCCATGAAGACTTGGGAGTTTCAGCAAAGGATAAATGGATTTGCAGCACTAAAAATCGCTTGCAGTAGCTCTGCTACTAAATTTATTTAAAAATGGCTGTCCCTGTACAGCTATGATCAGCTGTTCCTTCATCTTGACTGAGCTTTCAATGTTGTTACGGGAAAGGATGAAGCTGATTGGTTGGTTCTTGTCACATGACCCGCGGTGCGCTTTCGGCATTCTGAAAAGTTGAAATGTTTTCATCTCTATGCGGCGCGAAAGCGCCTTAAAAAAATTAGCTTCCATTATGAGCGCGCCTGCCGCGCGCCTTCATTTGAAATAACGAACTTGAGCGTGCAAAAAACGCGATATGTGAATGCCCCCTTAGAGATCAAGAAGGAGCTGGCAGAGAAGGTGACCAGGGCAGAGCAGGAGGCCAGGGTGGAGAGAGGCACAGACCTTGTTACATGACAAGCTATGTTTCCATCCACCTATTTTTATGCGCATTTTGGATTATCGCATAAAAAACCGCTGGATGGAAACGCCAAGATGCGCATAAATTCTAAAAGTGCGATTAAAAAACGTATGCGCACAACTGAGTAGGATAAACTTTTTATCCGATAAGAAAAAATGTGCATAAACTACGATGGAAACACATTTACCAAATAAATTCCACCATGCGCATTGAAAAAATCATGTGACTTTGCACTATGAGACGGGATAAATTGACTAACCAGCGGACCGATCTCGTTCATAACATCTATATGTTGTTTTGGTCGTTCTGAAATGCCTGAGGAAAGTCTGTCATCAAAGTATTTCTGTATAATTACTGTCTTACCTGACTGCGTTCCCAAACAGCAGGCATCCACCTCTAAAAGCAATGACTGCAGTTATTGTGTTACGTCTGCTCTCTCTGAAGCGCAAGTCATTTATTACATATGAAAATTATTATATTCAGTGGCTTCTCCTAGTTTTCTTAGATATGTTTAGTGCCAGTTTATCAGGAAGTGACGATTTTGTTCTCTTTGAATCGTTGAATGGAAATGGTGCTTTATTCGCAAATGTTTTATGCGATATTCCAGGTTGGCGCATAAGTTAAATTTGCGTCTTTGGATGGAAACATAGCTACAGGCAGACAGTTTGAGAATGGCCTGGCTTCCGTGGCCGTGACAGGACAGGCAGAGGGTCAATCATTATGTTCAATAAATTAATTCGTAAGTATTTACAAGCATATTATCTCATATTTGTAGCTATTTGATTTAACTAATAATCTGTTAAACATTATTTTAAAGGAGGGTGAAAAAACATTTCAGTAATCACATTTTGTTGCTTTGCAGCCTGAAACGAAGACGGACACAGTTTTGGTTTTATCCAGCTGTATTTACTCAGTGCAACTTATAAAATCCAAGTGAAAGATGTAACACCAGCAAGTCAGAAAAAAATAAAATAAAAAACAGAATCACTGAGTTGGAAAAAGGATCAGCTCCTTCCTAAAAATGATTTGTAAACTCAGTCAGGAGTAGCTAATCACCTTCTCAATGGCACACAAAGCCATCTGACTTTCAACTGTGATCAGATGTGCTCATTTTGATTAGCTCAGCATGAAAAGAGCTTTCCTGGAGCGTTTCAGTCCTTGATAGTGCAGCTGAAGCAAACAATCAACTATGGGTGGCAAGGCACTGTCAAAAGATCTCCGGGATGAAGTTGTGGACAGACACAAGTCAGGAGATGGAGACAGAAACATTTCAAAGGCTTTATCAATGTCTAGAAGCACATTGAAGTCTATTATTAAGAAGTGGAAGGTATTTGGTACAACACAGACCCTCTCTGGATCAGGATGCCGCTCCAAACTGGATAAAAGAGCCAGGAGGAAACTGGTCAGAGAGGCGACCAAGGCTGCATTTACACTGCAGATTTTTTGACTATATCCAATTTTTTTGACGACCCGCTTGCACGTTCTTTTAAAAGTGACCCGTATCCGATATCTGCATTTACACTACACAGGCTTAACTTGACGTGGCTCAACGCATTAGACAGTGATATTAAAAGACCAAACTCTGCACACACTATTAATAAAGCATGCTTTGTATCGATAAGCAGATAAGATTTAACGCGAATGAATAGAGTCTCCACAACAGTTAGCAATAGATTGAATTGCACTCAGCATGATTTTAAAAGCAACACATTTCAGCACCAGATCGCCTCTTATTTAACACAAACAAAAATAATGAATGCTCTGCTAGTCAAATAGAGATGTTTCATTTGTAATAGATATATCTGTACAGCGAGATGTTTCAAAAACATTTGACATCCAACTCGCATTAGCAGGGGAATATTCGCTCTGTCCACTTTACATGGTAGGCACAAATGCATGTATCCGATTCATATCAGATTAATTTCCACATATGAATGAGGCCTGAAACCGATCTGAGAATATCTTAATCGGCCATGTGCTTTTTTTCTACTTACACATTCATGGGCCATGTCCGATCTGTGCCACATGAGAGGAAAAAAATCGGAATTGGGTCACTTAAACCATGTAGTGTAAATGCGGCCCAAGAGGCCTACAGCAACTCTGAAGCAGCTGCAGGAATTTATGACAAAGAGTGGTCATTGTGTGCATGTGACAATAATATCACAAGGTGCCAAAACGCACCTTGAAGATTCTGAGGCAGATGAGACTAAAATTTTATTATTTGGCCTCAACACCAAACGATATGTCTGGCGGAAATCCAATACAGCTCACATCCAAATAACAGCATTCCTCCAGTAAAGCATGGAGGTGGTAAGATCCTGTTATGGGTGTTTCTCTGCAGCAGGGACTGGAGCACTTGTCAGGATAGAAGGAAACATGGAGGGGGGAAAATACAGTCAAATTCTTGAGGAAAATCTGCTGCTCTCTGCCAGAAATTTGTCAATGGGAAGAAGGTTTACCTTCCAGCATGACAATGACATAGAGCACCCAGTGGTTGAAGGAGAAAAGGCTGAATGTCCTTGCATGGCCTAGTCAGAGCCCAGACTTGAAGCCCACTGAAAATCTGTGGAATGACTTGAAGACTGCAGTCCACAAATGCTCACCATCAGATTGAACTGAACTTGAGCAGTTCTGCAAAGAAGAGTGGGCAAATATTGCAATGTCTAGACATGCAAAGTTAGTAGCGACATATCCCAAGAAACTAAAGGCTGTAATTAAAGCAAAAGGGGTGATACTTTTTCCAACTCAGTGATTCTGTTTTTTATTTATTTAATTTTTTTCTGACATGTTGGTGTTACATCTTTCACTTGGATGTTGCACTGAGTAAAATACAGCTGGATAAACCAAAAAGTGTGTCCATCTTCATTTCAGGCTGCAAAGCAACACAATGTGCTTATTTTAAAGGAGGATGATTCTTTTCTATACGCACTGTACATATAATGGAGAGAATAAGCATATTTGGCCTGCTGTCCTCTGGGAATTGAGGTGAGAAAAGCGGCGATATATAGACTTCCTCTGATGCGAATTGGTTGGATTATCTGAAAATATTTGTTAAATGTTTTGTGAAAACTTTGTTAAAGTAAACTTCATAAAGAATAGGAAAAAAGCAATGCTAGTCAAAGTGCTATCTTGTAAATTTAGTTACTGGATAAAATATGATAACTTGAGTAATTGAATGGTATTCAAAAACTCTTTCTGTTCTTTGAAGATCAGCATTTTTCCAGACAAATGGCAGCATTTGCTATCTGACCTAAAACATTATGGCTCGGTTTCACAAACGGGGCTTAGCTTAAGCCAGGACTAGGCCTTAGTTAAATTAAGATATTTAAGCAACTTTTACAAAAATGCCATAGAAGAAAACATTACAGGTGTGCATCTTGACACAGAACAATGACACTGACATATTTTAAGATATGTCAGAGCAAGATATTTTCAGTTGAGACAGCTCAAACATGCATTTTAGTCTGGGACTAGCTTAAGCCTTGTCTGTGAAACCGGGGGTATATATATTAGATTATTATATATATAGTAAATCACATCATAATAAAACAAAATACATTGTAGATTTCTACACTTAAACTAGAACATTGACACAAACAAAATGAGTGAAAAATACACTGCACTTTGAAAATTATGATATGTTAATCATTTAAGTTGCTAATACACACCATTTCTCTCCAAGGCTGTCACAGGTGAATCAAAAGTCAGCCGCAGTGTTTGCAGAAAAGTGTCTGCAGATTTGTCAATGGGAATGCTAACAACTAAAACACACTAGCTAAACTAACATTAATTAATAAACTTATATTTTACGAACAGCTAACTTTTTTAAACTTGTAAAAATGTACGTAACAGTTGCTAAGTACCAGTTAGCAGTTTACCGAGATAGCTAGACTAATCTTACAACATAAACCAACTCAAATATATATATACATTAAAGGGATAGTTCACCCAAAAATGAAAATTTGATGTTTATCTGCTTACCCCCAGGGCATCCAAGATGTAGGTGACTTTGTTTCTTCAGTAGAACACAAACTGAGATTTTTAACTCGAACCGTTGCAGTCTGTCAGTCATATAATGGAGGTGAATGGGAATCACGGCTTTGAGAGTCAAAAAAACATACACAAACAAAACCAAATGAAACCCTGCGGCTCGTGACGATACATTGATGTGTAAAGACACAAAACGATCGGTCTGTGCAATGTATACATATACATTAATACATTAAAGTACATAAAGTACACTTTTTTAAAGCAGGTCCTCAAACCAACCACACGCTCCACACTTCACCACAATGGTAACTTGCACAAAATACACCAATAGAAAGTCATTCACAATGCCCACCTAATAGAGTATTAGACATGCACTGAAAAAAAAAAAGTAATTCATCCAATTAAAACAATTTTGGGTAATGGTTCACTTGAGCCAATGAAAAATAAATAACTTGCCCTAAACAATATTTTCTTTGTCTATGAAAACTATTTTTACTTTATAAACTTGGCACAAAATATATTTTTCTTGTTGAAGAAAGTCAATTAATTTAAATTCTATTTTTGATCTAAACAAAAAGATATAGATTTAATCAAAACAAAAATTATCATTTAAAAAATAATATTAGAAATTATTTTTCGCCAATAAAATAGATATAGATTGAATTAAACAATTGTTTCTCATTTAAGAAATATGTATTAGAAATTATTTGCTTTATCCAGTCAAACAGATATAGATTTAATTAAACAATTATTTCTCATTTTTTTAAATAAAAGTTAATAGAAATGTTTTATTTTAAACAAACAAAAACATATGGATTTAATAAAAGATGATTACATTAAGGGACATTACTTAATATTTAATCTTATCCAAAATCTAAAATCTAAAAAAAACAATAATTTTCATTACATCAACATTTATTAACTTCCACACATCCAAAATTTCAGTACTCAAGTGTCAGATTTTTGACTTCTGAGAGCTGGCAAACGTTGACCTTATGAAAAAGTCTCCCTATTATTTCATTTTACTAAAAATTGCATAAAATAACACTATTTCAACATTTTCTCTCCCCATATCCCATCCTGTACAAAGCATGATGGGAAGTGTAAAACTTATTTTGAGGTACTTGATTGAAACATGTTCTTTCAAAATTAAAACTTCAGAGTTAAACCAAAAAGTAACCATTTCAAGTCAGTTTAACATGATGCAGTCATGTTTGAATGCGAAACCTGATACAATGGTGTTAAATCAAAATGATTTGTTTAAATAAAGTGAACAGCATCAAAAAAATAATTTTTTTGTCAACTGGTAAGCTACCTCTGGGAACTGCAGATGATAATATGGTCTAGCTTGTTCCTGTTTATAAAATTATAAATGGGTAAAGTCACAGTTAACCCTTTCACACAAAAGTTTAAAACATTCTAGCTGAACCCCCAGCACAAGATTTTTAAGGAGATTATTATTTTAGAACTTTCCATGGCAATGTTTTATGCTTGTCATGTGACACACCGCAGCCACAATAGCACTGTATGGCTTATTTATTGTTTTATCTCCTTTTTCCTTTTTTGTTCAAAATATTCACTGGTTAACTTGTTAAGCATATAATGAACTATCGTCTCAGGTTACTTATGTAACCATGGTTCCCTGAGTAGGGAACGAGACGCTGCATCCTCTAGGGGTTGCTATGGGGAACGCCTCGTCGTGACCCGTGTCACTGACGCCCTGTCTGGATCACATCCCTTAGGTCTTTTACTTACCTTCCTTTGACCCGCGATTCTTCCTACTCCTACACGCGGGCGGGGAGGAGCGCGAGCCGCGACACTAGCCTTCTGAGCCAATCTAATGTATTTCGGGAGAAGTGGATGAATTTATGTGTTGTCAAGCAAACAAATCAAAAGTAAGTGACCAGTTAACTGGGAGAAGAATAGTGTCACAACTGACTGCATATAAATGCACAAAGATGAATCACAGGGTATCTTCAGAAAAGCACAGGCATGACAAATGAGAAGTGAAAACACAGCAACTAAAAATACTAAGGAAAGCACGTTGATGGGCTGAGGTGGAGCGATGGGAAAGCTTGTGGACATAAGACACAAAGCAGGGAAGCAGTACCTCGGTGTCCCAATCAATCAGTCAGTTCTCAGTGTCAAGCTTTACCAAGACTCTTACTGACATGGATGTTGCCGGCTCACACATGGAAAAATTCTACCAACTGTTCAGACATGGCAGAGGCTTGCTCTGCTCCTGGGTTCTCCTGAGTTCTCCTATTTCTAGTGGCTCAGTTCTGGCCAGCCTGAGTCTGGTTCTCGGATCTTGTGTCTCTCCTGGATGGCACTCCTTGGGAGATTCCTGTCCGGAGAGACCTCCTGACTAGTGCAGACCCCTGAATGCAGAGGTCAATCTATCACTAACTGAGGATGCTGAGACAATTCTGAGTTTCATCTACCTCTACAAGGAAATTGTATGCTTTGAAATGGCAGCTATTTGAGTCATGGTGTTTGAGTCACTTAAACCCAACCTAGTGCCCGGTTGGTACAATGCTGGAATCCCTCCAAGAGCACTTCTCAGTGGGGTTATCCCCTGCTTTGCTTAAGGTACATGAGGCCAATATTTCTGCTAGCCACGTACCTGTTGATGAAGTTTCTGTGAGTACCCTTACCAAAAAGTAGTATACTTCAAGTTTATTTTAGCAAGTATACTTAAGTAAAGTTCAAGTATATTTTTAAGTATACTTTATGTAATAAGTATACAAATATCAGTGTACTAGTAGTATACTTGTAAGTGTACTATTTCAATACTCCTTGGGACTAAATTGGCCCACTTTCTAGAATATAAGTACAACAGTAGTAAACTTTGAGTACACAACTAGTTTACATCAAAATGTTTAGTTTGTACTGCAACTATAGAAAGAAATAACATTTTGAACAAAAAGCTGAAAAAAGACTGTGAATTGGATTCAGAACGATAATCAAAACGTAGATAAAGTCGATCAACACCCCAAAGCTTGACAGTTATTATTACCTCTTCACTGGTCAACATTTTATTCCATAATGTTACACAGTTTTGATGCTGTTTTATGTCTGATGATCGTGTTAGATTACATGTGGAAGCATCTGTTGTTTTTCGGTTTCTTCTTCGCTTGTGTTTTTTTGGAAATTCTGTACAGAAGATGTGTACTAGCGCCCCCTACAGTATAACAATGAAAACACGTATTCTAGGAGCACAATTATAGCTAAAATATATTTAGGCTTTTTCTAAGTATAAGTCAAGTATACTTAAAGGCAGAGTAAGTGATTTCTGGTAGCCAATGTTGATATTTGAAATCACCAAAACAAACACGCCCCTACCCCGAAAGGGTCTTGCCCCTATTTTGATAGCTCCGCCCTACATGTACGTACGCAACCCAGGCAACGATTAGTTCTGTGAAACAAAGCAAAACCAATGTTACACAACATTTTATTCCATAATGTTACACAGTTTTGATGCTGTTTTATGTCTGATGATCGTGTTAGATTACATGTGGAAGCATCTGTTGTTTTTCGGTTTCTTCTTCGCTTGTGTTTTTTTGGAAATTCTGTACAGAAGATGTGTACTAGCGCCCCCTACAGTATAACAATGAAAACACGTATTCTAGGAGCACAATTATAGCTAAAATATATTTAGGCTTTTTCTAAGTATAAGTCAAGTATACTTAAAGGCAGAGTAAGTGATTTCTGGTAGCCAATGTTGATATTTGAAATCACCAAAACAAACACGCCCCTACCCCGAAAGGGTCTTGCCCCTATTTTGATAGCTCCGCCCTACATGTACGTACGCAACCCAGGCAACGATTAGTTCTGTGAAACAAAGCAAAACCAATGTTACACCGTGTCTACGGACGTGAGCGGCGCGGCGCAACAAATCCCAGACAGAAAACTGCTGCCGGGTTCTATTTATGACGTGCTGACACAAATTTCAAATGGTTTTTAACGGTCGTTTGATCGCGTCCAGTGTAGGCAGACTTTAGCTGTTGTAGACACGGTGTTACTCACTTATTGAGAAGAAACAAATCAACCTCGGCGTCCGATCGCAGGCTTCCGCTCCTTAAGTTCTCTCCAGCGCTGGAAAGCTGATCCGATATTTACACGGGTCCTACTTCTTGCCTTATCGTTATAGACGTTTTCCTCATTTGTTTTTTATCCGCCATCTCCATCTTTCTGTCGTTCGGCTAATGTCCGTCCCATGCACTGAACGCGCTCTCCTCCACATCACGAGTAGACACGCCCCTTATTGCTGATTGGCTACAAGTTTGTTTTGCTATTCGGCCCGAATCAGTTTTCTAAAGTGTTTTTGAAAAATTACATACCCTACCTTTAAT